TTTCATGCCTAAAGCAGGACTAGAACTCACAGCCACCTGGTGATTGGACCAAAGTCACCTAGCTGGCTCTCATCCTTAAGGCAAGACTATAACTCACAGACACCTGGCTTTTAGGCCAGCACCTTAACCACTACACCGAACTGCTATGTAGTTAATTATTTCAGTTGCTGTCTATATTTATTGTGGATGCATTTATTGTTTTAAATGGCTTTTTAATTGAATTAATTGTTTTTATAGCTTTAGCACAGAGTCATTGGGTTGAGATGGGTGGCTATAGAAAGTGAATGAATGAACGAACAGCCCAAATGACTTGCTGGAGTCAGGGCTGTGGAAACTGGCCAGCCAGGCTCCAAAGGATGAAGAATTTATCCTTTCAAGGCTGAAGGAGCCAACCTCATATAGGCAAAGTAAAAAGCTGAGGCTGTAGCTTTATTCTGTATTTCACTGCCCTGCGAAAAGTTGGAAGTCAATGATTTTTCTTCCCTCTTGTCCCTCACTCTTCCTTCCTCGCTTTCCGTTGTCCTGTTACCTTTATTTTCAGTTGTAATTTTATATATGATAACCTCCATAAAAAAATAAATAAAAGAAAACAAAAAAGAAATCAGGTGAAGGTCACCCATGAATTCAAGACGGGACGCTCACTAAATCCCTCCCCCTACCAAAATAATAATAATAATAATAATAATAATAATAATAATAATAATAATAATCTGAAAATTAAGGACTGATCTGCAAACTTCACCACTGATTAGAGCCAGAAGGATCCTGACTTCAGCTAAAGACACCTCAGCATCGGAACTGGCGTTCTCCGTGTTTCTGGGAAGTCACTAATCTTGACCTGGGGTTGTGTGAATGAGATAAGGGCAAAGCACTCACGTGAGAACATTAGCGGGCATCATTTGCGACTCTGGAGCTGCTTCTATCAAAGACTGCCAGGTGTTGGTGGAGTTTGGGATGACAAAGCCAAACTCAAAGAACCATTCTGTAAAAAGAGGATGAGGATGAGTGCCATAAACAGCCAGCTTCTCCCTTTACACCTGTCGCCCAGGTAAGTAACGGCCTGGAAGCCAGCCTTCCCCTGCACTTAAAAGTCTCTCATATACGGGTAGGATTTAAAATGGGCCATACAAGTGTTTTTCAACCCTGATAAATTTTAAGATGTGTTGACTTCAACTCCCAGAATTCTGGGAGCTGAAGTCCACGTATCTTAAAAGTGGCTGTGATGACCCAAAGGGGCGTGGCACAAAGGCAACAGAGTAACATAAGCAAGTAAAGTCCCTTTAATACCTCCAACTTTGCCTCCAATGTCCAGGTTACCTTCTGGGCTGGAGAAAAAACTCTCCCAAGAACAGCCTTTAAGTGGAGGAAATTCAGTCCGAAAATAAAGTACTTATAAACTGTAGATAAAAATCCACACAAACCACGCTGCGGCAATTAACTGGACAGGGCAGAATAAGGAATTGCAGACTTCAAAGGCCAACAAAATACACACAGTTGGGAAGATGCCAGGAACCCAGATAAGCCTCGACCATAAAAGATAACTCACGATTTGCTTCCAACAACTTTGCTGTGCGCAATCTCCCTTTTTAAACACTGTGTTCCCAGTTGCAGCTAATGAAGGGAATCGGGGCCCTTTCCTCCCCAGTAAGCCACCCAACTCACGTTGCTCCCTTCTCCGTTCCTCCCTGCGTGCCCTAGGACGAAGAGGGGGTGGGCCTGGGTCTTCCTCTGAATTCCCTCTCCCTTGTTCTACCTCTCCCTTGTTCTACCTCTCCCCTGCTCTGCCCAGCCGGACTTTGCCCTTCCCCGGTTTCTTCCACAGCCAACGGAGCCACACTCTCACTCCCTGTCAGCTGCTCGGCCTCCCCCTCCGAATCAGATTTCGACAGGGGCATGACAGAGGCTATGGTTGGGAAACACCACTATAGAGGTACTTTGTTTGCTGCCTAAACAAAGTTTATAGAAGTATTCTATCCTTCAGCTGCAAGGAACAATTCAGACATGTTCTCCACCTCGGGCAGGATTTGAAATGATCTAAATCAGTGTTTCTCAACCTCTGCGAGCTTCAGGTAACAGAACCACAGAGTTGGAAGGGACCTTGGAGGTCTTCTAGTCCAACCCCTGGCTCAGGCAGGAAAGCCTGCACCATTTCAGACACATGGCTGCCCAAACTCTTCTTTAAATCCTCCAGTTAATTCTTCTGGCTGTCAGGAAATCTCTCCTGATTTCTAAGGTTGGGTCTCTCCTTGATTTGTTGCCATCCGTCGCTTCCTGCCCTCTTTTCTTTGGGGCAGCCCATCAGATATTGGGAAACTGCTGGATGTGTGGACTTCAGCTCCCAGAATTCCACAGCCAGCATTATCCAGTGGGCAACTGAATGGAGCTGAGCATTTACTGGCTGGACGCCCTTCCTGTTGCCAATGTGGAGTTTTTTCCAGCAGATATATTCTCATTGCGCCAGAGAGAGAAATATCTGCCTCTGCCAAGGATCGAACTCACAGCCTCCTGATTGTGAGGTGAGAACTCCACCTCTGCACCACTCCTTTCTCATGTCGCCTTATAGAATACAATATAGGTATGTGTGGGTATGGACACACACACAGACACACACACATATATACCCAGCCTATACCCAAATCTCCCTAGAATAAATTTAGTTTAAATAAAGTGTCAGCAAATACACATACATATATGTCATGCCCCTGTTAGAATCTGACTCTGAGGGAGAGGAGAAACAGCCGACAGGGAGTGGGAGTGTGGCTCTGGAGGTTGGGGAGGAAACTGGGGAAAGGCTCAGGCTGGCTGGGCATTCAGAGGAAGACCCAGGCCCACCCCCTCTTCATCCTAGGGCACGCAGGGAGGAGCAGATAAGGGAGAAACGTGAATGGTGTGGTCTACGGGGGAGAAAAAGGCCCTGATCCCCTTCATGGGCTGCAGCTGTGAGGACTGTTTAAAAGGACAAACTGCGCATGGCCCAGTGCTGGAAGCAAAGCGTGAAATAATTCTAGTCTTTCAGTTCTTATCTACGTTCTGGCATCCTTCCCAGTGTGTGTGTTCCGATATCTGTGGACGTCTTCAAGACCTTATCCTGCCTTTGTTTCATTAATTGCTTCAGTCTGGTTAGTGTTGTTTGTTTCTATTTATTATGTATTTTGAGTTTGAACCGCATTTCTTCCTTTTCGCAACTGTTTGTGGTTTTTTTTTTCCTCCAGTCGCTGATAATTGGAGCTTTGAAGCCAAGTTGAAGGAACTAAAGGGACTTCACCTGTTTTTGTGACTCTGTTGCGTTTGCATCCCACCCTGGGTCATCACAAATACATACAATCTATATATATTTGCTGACACTTTATTTAAACTAAGTGTGAGTATCAATGTTATCTATAGATGCCATACACTAAATAATAACTAATCCTTATTTATGATTGGTGCTGACTTCTGATAGGGCAGAAAAACGTTAATTCTTTTTGTTGCTTGCCTGTTGTGGCCCGACAGCTGACAGCAGAGCTGGCGGCAGACTTGGACAGCGAGGAGGTTGGGGAGGAACATGGGCCAGTCCTGGAGTTTGGGAAGGCTCGGACGAGGGCTCTGCGTCGGAGGCAGAGATGGAGCCAGGGCCATCTAACAGTTATCAGCTGCCTTCGGAGTCAGAGATCAGTGGGGAAGAAGAACGGCTGGAGCCTGTTCCCAAGGTGCGCATGCACAGAGCTGCCAGAAGAAGGGAACAGCTAAGGAACAATTGTTGACTTGGGAGTAAGGGGCACAGGTGGACGGTGAATGGCCCCTTCCATAGGGAATAAAAGAGGAGCAAAAGGGGAGTGGGTTTTGCAGGGGACCATTTGTTCATTCCGGCATGCTTGCCAAGTATTGCGGGGACTGAAAGGTATCGGCCTTGGTCACTCTCCAAGCCTGATAAAGGTCTGTAATTGGGAACTATCTGGAAGGACTGTTGGCCAGGACTTTGTCGGAGAGGAAATTCATTGTAAATTAAATAAAAGGTGTTTATTGGGAGGAGGACTCCGCTTCATGCTGTTGGGGAAGCCAAGGTTAGAACATGCCTGCCTGCCTGTTTCTCTCTTTCTCTCTCCTCCTCCCTGGTGAAAACCCAGCCCAGATTTCCAAAGGAGAATAAAACTGCACCTTCTAGACATTGTCCCTTGAAATAAACTTTCTGTTCCAGGCGGAATTTTTCCATCTGCTCTGTGGAGGAAAAATTTAGCTCCCGAGACACAGCTTTGCATTTCAGAATCTTCTTAGGAACTCGAGCTGAGAAAAGAGAGAAAGAAGAGAGGGGTTGTTGGTAGAAATTATTATTCCAAACTATAAGACATGGCTTGGTGTGGCCAAAGGTGCTCAGATGTCAGCAAAAGGCAGGAGGCGCTTCCGAAAAATTGTAGAAAAAAAAAAATGCAGGCAGGCACGCTATAGGACGCAACTGCTCATCGTCTCTCCTATGCAAGTAAGAATAGAATTCTTTTATTGGCCAAGTGTGTGACTGGACACACAAGGA